TGGAAACGTTATACAAAATTCGATTAATTATTGAAGCATTAGCTTTGTTCAAAATTACTATGAGGGATATCTGCATTACACTTGCAATTTTGATATAAACATTAATATGGAAAATAGCATGACAGTCTATTAAGATTTTAAGTTTCATCTTAAAATGTCAAGCTTAATAAGAGGAGTAATCAAAAACCTAATATATTGTTATTAATTGATGTATTCCTTAAGAAGTCTCTTACAATAAGTCTCGTAAGATGGTGACTCATTTGAACATATCGATCTTAAAATTCGTGTGTTCATTTTTTAATCTTAATCACGTCAAATTGGTCGTTTTTTAGTCTATGGATTATGGAGAATTCATGGATGGTCCAGATTCTATTCCTTTGATTCTTAACTAGTGTTTCATTTTTAATTATTGTCTTTCTTTTAATTATTAGTCCCTTCTCGATATTCATTACAAATAATTAAACTAGTTTATCTTATTTTGATTCCTAGAAGTCGCCTTTGTGCCGAGTTGTACACTTGGTTTCCATCACTGAAGATTGACCTGGTGATTCCACGTGAAATCAAATGTTGAGGTTGTTTACACCACCATTATTGTGAGGATGGTGGGGACAATTCTTATCCTCGAAATATAGGTTGTTCAAAATCAGACGATTTAGACAACTAATCAACGCATCCAAAACTTGGATAACTGGCATGCATCTCTAGGGCCGTAGTGTAGCTGACAAGACCGTAGTTGGCCAATGGTGTGCTCTCACATCCTAAGAGTAGGCATGAAATGGTCCCCCACCACACACAACTCAAATTGGAGAAAAAACACGAGAAGAGTACTAATCTTATTTTTAAAAAAATACTCCAATCGTGTATTTCATTCCTTTGATTCTTAACTCGTGATTAATTTTAATCATTGCCCTTCTTTTAATTATTTGACCTTCATTTGGTTTTTAAGGATTGGTTAGATTTGTAATCCTCAGATGAAATATATAAATATTGGATTTTTTTTAAATTGTTGATCCATACTCGATATTTAATAAGAATCAACGAGTAAGTTGATCTCATGTCTATTTTATTTCAGTCCCACTAAGAACAATTAAAACCCAACACCAATTTGGCACGGAACGCTATTTTTGTATAAAATATGGCCTCAACCCAACTTCAAATCTTGAATCTTGATAGAAAATTTTATTATGAACAGTAATGCACCAAATTCGTTGCAACAATGTTTATTTGATGTAATACATAGAGCTTTTCTTAATTCTCTTTGCCTTTCATTTTATACTACAACAAATATTAATTTTTAATAAATCCTTTTTATATCTTTCTATTACATTATAATTTAATATTTTTTATATTTTTATTATTATTTATATCTGATACTAAAAATTAAAGTTAGGTGTACCTTCACCAAAGACTTCGTGATTCAGACAGATAAGGGAAGGATGGTTATTTGGGAATGAGTAAACTTTGTATAGATAATGATCAATTTGTAACATTTGACCACCAAACAAAATTTCTCTCTTTTCTTCACACGCCTTTTGCTCCCTATTTCAAGTCAATGGACGTGTCTTAAGAAATTCCACATTTTTTATTGAACACGTTTTTGATTGAACGGATATCGTGAATATTAGTTTCGAATCGAACTTAATAATTATTTTTATTTCATGAAGGCAAATTTTATTTCATTAAGATTTCCATTCCGTTTTGTTTGATTGAGTCTGCACATATTTTTTTGACTTTGCAAAAAGAGGAACTTTCGCAGTAATTTTCATGCACTTTTTGGATTTTTTACTACCTTCTATTTCACACATAAGCTTAGTAGACTTTTGACCAATTAAAAGGTAATTAAATGAAAGTCTCAGTATGAAAATTTTACCCAAAAAAAAGAAAAAAAAAAGAAAGGTTCAACCTCATAACCTTTCAAATTTGTCGGTGAAATTTCAGTCTTGCTTTATTTTGTGATGTTAAGTATAATATTTTTTAATTGTGGTATTAAATGTAATGGTTTTTTTCATTTATAATAAACGAAATATTCTAATTAATTAAATAAAAATTCTAATTTAGTATTTTTTGTTTACCATAAAAAATGCGCCAACAGATATCGGGCCCACGGCATCATTACAAGCTAATTTCGACCCGCGTAGACGGGTTACTAGTCGAACATATTACGGGTTTGAACGTGAAAGAACCTTTTCGACACGAGACAAATATATGCAAGCTCCTGTAAATATAGAAACAAAGGTATGCGATAAAAAACGATTGACAAAGAACCAAGCTAAAGATTATTATCACACCATAAACTCTTGAAAGATCATATATTTGTAAAGAGAGAGAGAGAGAGAGCATGAGTTGTAGATAACAATTTTCATCCCCTAGTAATGGTACTAAGGGAATATATTTATAGTGTTACATGTGCAATAATAATCATTGGATGAGAGGACACATGGCTCCATCTCCTTAACCGAAACATCACATCCTGACATCAATTCTGACTCCACTAACCTGCGGCGCAATAAATGTCTGTTAAGAAGGCGACCACCCCATATTCTATGCTGACAAGATTGAACCTTTTAACTCATTGTAATAGTCCAATCAATCATTCTAGAAGGATTTTACAAATATAAGATTTTCAAACAAAGATCATCATTTGCCACGGTTGAGCTTCGAATTCGTCTTCGTTGGGCCTTGTGCATAGCTCCAGCATAGGGGCTTCGACAGAAATAGGAGCCTCGACAAGAATAGGCTTTGGCCATTTTAGGCTTTGGCAAGATGGAGCCTCGGCAAGATGAGCTTCCCCTAGACGGTGCTTCAGCCAATTTGGGCTCTGGTAAGATGGGTTTCAGCCAATTTGGCGTAACAATTTTAGTGTAATAGAATTTGTAACATATATACGTTCAATTTTTATTTTCTATCCTTCATGTCTTCAGTGCACCTCCAACTATGGTCAACGAAAATAATCCACCTACAATTCCCAATGACCAGGAACCTAGCAAACCTCTTTTGATTATCAACATCAATAATTCTATCAAACTCACCTCTAACAAATATCTCTCTAGGAAACTTCAAATGGAACCAATTTCTAGATCTATCACATGCTTACATCTAAACTAGTGTTCGAATACCACCGGTGGTGAATAGCATTATTCTGATTAGACAACAAACACGTACAATTTTAAGTATCAACACACACGTAGAATTTTAATATTGGTTTTATTTTAGGATTGATGGGTTTTAATTAGTTTTTTTTTCGGCTTATTTATAATAAAAGCACAAAACACTCCATGTGCTTATTGATTTTGTCAACTAATTAGACCAAATCAATCTTGTAGCTGTTGGATCCATGTGACAAGGAAACTCATGTAAACAAAGAAAAGCAAATATGCAACAATTATATCAAACCCCCATCAAAGAGAACAAAATATTTTCAACTTTTGGTTTCAATTGTTTTTAAATATTTTATACTCTCTCTCTCGGACGATCTTAAGTTCCTATCACTCGAGTGTTTTCAATTAAATTTTTTTGGGTGTAATGGTGTCAATCCTATCATCTTTGTCTCGAGTATTGAAAACGAACAAGATTGATATACATATTTGCTTTTTTTTTCGTATATGGTACAAGGTTTATAGATACCTACCATCTTTAAAGGTGGTGAATGTAGTTAGACGCCAAGTGATGCAAGGATCAATAGCCTCAAATCAACAACTGACAATAAACTATTCAATAATTTCAGTAACTAAAATTCAGCCAACCAGATATTCACGAGTTCTGGAGGGTGGCAGGAGGAAGGCATACATGCAGAGGATCAATCATATACCTTTCCCACACTCAACAACAGCTATTATTGGGCTAATAGTTGCATATTAAAGGCATACGGTTAATAAGTTATACAATTCTATGGCCAAACATCGACACCTTGTTCTAGTCGCTGAGTTTAGCTTGCCAGAATTGAGGATTACTCTTCCCAGTATTCACATCAGCCAATTTTTTCTAAGTTCCTATAGTCCAAAACAATTACAGTCTTGCTTAATTTGATATGCCCGTGTAGTAGAACTATTGCTTCCGTAAAGAAACCATATAGAGATCCAGATTGTTATACCTAGAGAACTTGGGTGCATAATTATCAAACTCATCTTGAGACCTTTTCAAACTCACCATGATCAACTAAATACTCGTTAACTTGTAGGGATGGATTCATTTTTCTACACAAGTGGGCATTTCAGACTCTTTGATGAAGATATATGGGCAATCATCTCCAGAAATATAGATCCATTAAAAAAATATAAGATTGGTTAAATAGAGCCAAGGATCCCTGAACAACATATACAGTTTATAATTGACCATTTAAGAATTAAGGCTTCCGATTTTAAACCACAAAACCGATTAGTTCCTCTCTTCACTACAAACACGAAATCACAGGTGCATGTTTTCACCTCACCAGGCTCACCTTAATGATAAAAGTTAACACTTCCATCTGAACAAGAACTTATTCCTATCAAACCCAACTTACGATGATTAGCATTCATACATTCTATAATGCATTCAAGCATAACATATTTGCCTCATCAGCTTCGGTGGAGAAAAATGAAGACGAACTCCGGACGGTTGACGCAAGACCTTCGTTTTGATGTGCCATTTGAATCAAACGGATAGATTTCATCAAAACTCAGCTCATTAGATTCATCTTTTCAAATTTTGGATCGTCAATTTTGGAGAGTTAGGACTCAATTTTCAAGGGAGCAGATTTCGATTGAGAACCTGTTTTGATGTTATAGGACCACGAATGGGAGCACCTTGGGGAGTAGACGTTATCGGTTTGTGGCTAATGGAATGGGTGTCGCCGGAAAGAGTGTTGCTGCCTTGGTTTTGGTCCTTGAGTTGGGGGTTTTGGGCAGCGACAGGGGTCATTAGTGATGACAGGATGGAGGTGTATCCGATAGTGGTGGTGTACGGAGGTCTAGGCGGTGGTAGGGTAGAGTTTGAGGTGGTTGAAGGTGGCGGCTTCGTTGAGTTGCCACGTCACCAATGGTGGTGGAGGAGGAGGAGAGGGAGAGATTTTTTTCTTTCATTTCAAATTTTTTAATAATTGTTCTTTATTTTTATTTGTTCTTTTTGTTTTATTTAAATTGAAGGGTATATTCGTCATTTCATATATTTTCATAGAGAAAATTTCATATATTTTCATTGAAAAATTGGATAAAAATTGATAAAAATTATGTTTTTCACAATGAAACGTGAGAATAAGGGTGAAAATGCAAAAAATTGAAAGTATGGACGTTTTCTACACTAAAGCTAAATGTAGAAACGTTTTGTGCTAATAAACCAAAAATAAATAAGATTATTCAATAGTGAATTTTCAGAAAATACAAATTTATTGTCAAGAAAGCAAGAACATTATCAAAAGACAAATATTTTACAAAGTAACGATAAAATATTGAACATGATCACTCACAAACAAGCTAAAAACACATACTAAAATTACATGAAACTCTCGAAAAACATGACCGTCGCTAAATCGTATTACACACAGCACCCGTTATTGACGCAATAAGAAAGCACTCTAATTTCCATACTCAATTTTGACAAGCAGAACGAGAAATACTCAAGAAGTCCACCTCAATAAACCTCATCTTTTTGGTGATTTGAAGTAACCCTGACATACAAGACAAGACATTCAGAGAAACAAAATTAAATGTATCAAAGGCTTTAGTATTATGACACTTAATTATCAGTGGGTGCTATCAATTTAAACTCGAACAGATACATGAAGGATTAGCAATTATTAATTTTGTAATTGATTGTTTTCACAATATAGAAATACATGCATGATGCATACTCGAGCAAAAGAATCCTAACATCTTGAATTATAGGCGTGTTCGATAGAGATTAAAATCATATTAAAATTGAAAAATTAACCGTTATTGTTGACTTTTATTAGACGAGTGGGACCCAATAACGGCTATATTTTCAATTTTAATTGGATTTTAAGCTTAACCAAACATGCTCTATGAGTCACTTCGGTTCAAAAACTCTTATCCCATGTTTTTGTGTTTGGTAATCTTGATTGGATATAACTAAAATTTTTGTAACACATCCCTCAATTATATTCAATATCGTCTACTCCAATTTACTAAATTATTAAGCTTTGTGTTTGAATTATGAATTTGCATAAAAGAATATTTTGGATTATTTTAAGTTTATATCTCAACGATATTGTACAGAAAAGAAAAGAGTATTTTCAATATTTTATTGTAAGGAAAGAAGAAACAAGGAAGAAACAGTATAAACCATAATAAGAACTGGAAAAAGCACACTAACCTGTTGAATAGTGGTCTGACTTCACGGCTCCACCATCAATTTACGTAGTCTCTCGGCAACATTTATGTCTTTTAGGTTGCACGCAAACTCTTCAAGCTTTGGCATCCCTATTTGATCCACAATGAACTCCGGAATTACATTTGTCACAAATAATCCATCAATTACCAACACTCGAAGCTCTGGAAAGTTTTTCCCTCCTGAGAAATCCAGCGTGATTGATTGGCTGTATTCTCAATATGTCATTTCAAGGATCTCTAATTTGGGTAGTTCCGTTAGTACCTTCATTGGATCCTCAGTGAATTTCATGGACCGAATGCTAAGGTGGATAAGGTTTGGAGGGAATTCAATGGTGTCAAGCATGAATGGAAAATTAGATCCAGCAGACAGTGTCAACCTAGCAAGATGGTCATAGTGGGACAGGTTTAACCTCTTAAATTTCGGAGTCAACCCCAACTCCAATTTTTGGAGCTTCTTCGATATGGGTGTTTTACCAGATATTACATTTATATGTTGGTCGTTAATCTCATGTAAATTCAGCTCTCTCAAGTTGGAGAGTTTTTGTAATGAGCTAGCTTTCAAAATGGTACCAGGCACCCAATCTAAAATTTCTATGTTCGGTAAATACACCTCATTTCTGATATGCAAATTTGTGCATTTGTTAGACCCAAACATTTGATCAATGCCTATGAGTAAATGCTTCAAATGTTTCATCCTTAAAATAGTTCTTGGCAAACCACAATTAAAATATGCTTCTTGAATATCCAATGTCACCAATTTCTTGAGATTCCTTATGGTTGAAGGCATCCTTTCAAATCTCCCTCTCAACTTAAGGAAAGTCAACCTACTCAGATCTCCTATCTCATTAGGAATCAAAGTCCATCCTTCTCCTGAGTTAGAGAAACAGAACAAGGTACGAAGTTTTGGAGTGTTTGAAAAAGAAAATTGACTAGTGTTGTCAATGGTAAGTCTACGAAGCATTGAAAATGAATTAGAGTGTATATTATGGCGTGTACCAAAGAAGTTGTTCTCGTTGGCCAATTTGATGCAAAGACCACGTAGAAGATCATGAATGTGACAACTTACCACTCTTCCATCCGAATCTCTAGAAGATGCTTGGATTAAATTTCTGTCACTTAACATCTCTAATTTATAAGCCACAATGTCAAAAGGATTTCGATTTCCGTCGACCTGGATCAATTTCTCGGAAACCCAAGCCATGACCAACTCACGACTCGAAATTTCTTCATCTTCGGGGAACAGCCCAAAGTAGAGGAAAAAAGGCCTCAAGTCAGGAGGTAAATCTTTGTAACTTAGAGACAAGATTTGTGAACAATCATTTTCAGCACTAGTGCTCAAGATGTCAAGCACCTCATTCCATGCATGTTTATTTCTTCTTCTCTGCTGCAACATACCCACCGCAACCACAATTGCCAATGGCAACCCACCACACCTTCCTACTATCTTCTTGGCAATATCTTCCAATTCTATTGGAGGAAATGTCTCATTCGTACTTTCTGAAGAGGATTTCATCAGCTCGGAGAAGAGTTCCCAGCTCTTTTCTTGATCTAAGAGTTTCAATTGAATCAAAGAGCTTTCACCACCTATATATCTGCCCACATCAGTATACCGAGAAGTAATGATAATTCTGCTACCATTTCTCGAGTTGATGGGGATAACATTTTTTAACTCATCCCAAGATTCATTTTTCCAAATATCATCAAGAAAAATTAAGCACCTTTTTTCATTAAGCAGAGAAAGCAAGTTGACCTCCAAATTTTCATCCATCTTTTCCTTTTCAAGGCCAACTTGCTTTGCTATTTCAAGTAGAAGGTCTTGGACTCTAGGCTCATTTGAGACATAGACTAGGGCAGAAGAAGTAAAATCATTTTGCATTTCTTTATATATTTTTTTACCAAAAGTAGTCTTGCCCACACCTGCGTCCCCTACAATACATATCATTTTACAATCTAAGTTTGAGCTCGTCAATTTTTCCTTGAGTTCCTGGAATTTATCATCACGACCGACAACCATTGAGTCCGTGGCAATTAGGAATTCTTTTCTTCGATTCCATACCTCCGAATCGGCATTACCTGTTTGATTTTCTGTGGTTCATATTTAGAAGATAATTGGTTTAATAATTATATAACATAAAAAGACATAATTATTTGGATAACTACCATAGAAGCTCTTTCCTACTAATTGGACAAAGAAAAATAGCCCTCTTCCTCGTATTTATAGAAGACTATCAAATTAAAAGTGCAATTTAGAGATCTTGATTTTTCATATTTATGTTTCTTTGCAAAAAAAAATAAAGAATAAAAATCATAGAATATAACATGTTCAGATTTATATTGATCTAAATGGATAAAATCAGTATACCTCCATCTGTATCAAGATTGATACGGCATCTTTTTCTAGTGTTTTCTATTTCTTGGGCCCGTCTCTTGATTCTCTCAATTTCCAGGGCAAAGGTATTTGCAGTGGAACAATAACATAGTATACAAGCAGCATGCTTAACGAATCGATATGGCCCCTTTCCCTTGTGCGACGCAATCTCTGCAAGGTAAGTGTCCAAAAGATCCTCGATGTCCAGAACAAGATCTCTCATGTCAATTACGAAGTTAGCTACTTCATGGCTTCCACCTTGCTTTGACTCGGCATCTTTGAGACATAATTTGAAGTGTCTCATTAGTTGTTCAATCCACTCCATGTCCTCCTTCAATCTATACAAGAGTGAGCCTGTTTCGACAACTAGATTGGCGGCTATCTCTACTGCTTGGTTAATGACTGCTGTAAGTGCTGCTGACTCTGCCATCTACTCTCGTTTTCTCTCAAATATAGCATGTGAAATACGATGAATCAAATGAAACTCAGTATACACAAATATAGAACTACTCAGTGACTGAGTCACCAGAAAACACATATAACTCGTAAAAGCACGTAACTTTACCTACTTTTGCAAGAATTCATTGCAAGTGTCCCTACTAAAGCTCCATCCCCTGCAATTGGGCCCAGCTCAAAGACGGCCCATTGGAGGGGTCCCATCAGTGCAACTATGGTCGTGTTGAGACTTGAGATATTTTTCACAAGAGGACAATATCATTGATAAGTAATAAAGTATTGAATAACTTTATTATTGAGATATTTTTCACAAGAGGACAATATCATTGATAACTTTACCTACTTTTGCAAGAATTCATTGCAAGTGTCCCTACTAAAGCTCCATCCCCCGCAATTGGGCCCAGCTCAAAGCCGGCCCATTGGAGGGGTCCCCTCAGTGCAACTATGGTCGTGTTGAGACTTGAGATATTTTTCACAAGAGGACAATATCATTATAAGTAATAAAGTATTGAATAAAAATATTGTCACAAAATGATGTATTATTGATTTCTCCTTGATTAAAATTACTAAGCTTACCAACTACCCACATTTTAAATTTTGATTTTAGAATTATGTTTTTCCTAATTAACTAAATTTAGTAATTTCATCCTAATGGAAAACGTAAACATCGAGATAGAATTCAATCAAGTAAATAGTCAGGAATCTAAATATTATTAATTAATATTGTTTTAAAAATCGAACCGACTATCAACAATAAAAAGTTAAAAAGTGTCAAAGATGGAAAGGCCCAACTGAAGTCGAATCGAAATCTAACTAATTGTATAGAATTATTAAAAACATCCATAATAAAACATTACAAATATAATATAAGTTTAAGTTAAATATTGAGTCCAACTATTATAATTTCTAACTTAAATATGCAATTAGTAAATATGTTAACTTATAATTTGATATAATAATTAAGACCTTGTTTGGGCTCCATTTTGATAAAGTTTTGGGAAAAATGTATTTTGAAATAGTAATTTTTTAAAGAATGTGTAGTTAAAAAGTAAAAAAAAAAAAATTAGATTTACATATAACATTACTTTATTAAAGAATGCGTAATTGAAAATAAAGAAAGAGAAAAATACATCAAATTAAAATGGAGCCTAAGCGAGGCTAAGTAAATTATACTTAATTTACAACTTAAAGAAAATGATAATAAAAGGAAAGGAAAAAGTAAAAAGTGATACGGAGTTTCCTCATTTTTAACACAAATTTGAATTTTCATTTGTAATGGGCCCAACTCGAAGAAAAAGTAATGGATTACTTCATTGGTAAGATTAGGGTAAAATAGGTGTTGCCGACAAGGAAGGGGAATGACTTTTTCAGTGAGGGACATGGAAAAAGTAGACAAAGGTAAAGAAAAAGAATTAAGCTATATTTACAGGGAAATGGTTCACAGGTCAATTACGGGGCACTCACAAAAAAGCGGGGCCCACATGTTTAAAAAAAAAAAATTTAATGCGGGCCTACCTTGTATCTTACCTGGCAGGGGCAAGCATTGTTCAAAGAAAAAAAAGAACCCCACTGGCCACTACCATTACAGGGGCTGCGAAAGGGACATGCAAAAAGTAGACAAAAGTAAAGAAAAAAAAGAACCCCACTACCATTATAGGGGCCTGCCTGCCATGTGAGACACAAAGGCATGGGGGCCACATTTTTTTTTAAAGTGAAAGTTACCTGGAGTCTTATTTTTGAAGATTCAAGTTCAAAAATCAGATTTTAAATTTTAATGTTAAAAAATCAGATATTTTATAGATGAATATAGATTTTTATATTTAATTAAATATTAATAATAATATTATAAAAATTAATTTATATACACCCACCCCCACACCTAAATTAAATTTCAAACCCTAAATTCTCCCCTCTCTCTATCTCCCCGTCTCTCACACCNTTTCTCTCAGATCGCCTCTATTCTTTTCTCCACGCAACCCGTCGTCGCCGCCTGGAAGATAAGCTCCGGCGCAGCAGCTTCACCACCAGACGAGAATCTCCTGCGCAGATCTGAAGCAGAATTAAATAGATCTGAGGAGAAGACGCCGGAGCAATACTTCTCGAGATCACACGATAGCAGTAACTTGCCCACCACCGTCGGCAGCGATCTGTGGTGCGCTATAGCGACGGCGATTATGCCGTGCGCCGCAACGGCTACTCACGCCGATGACGACACGCAGAGGCTCTGATTTGGGGGGGGGATGGTTCTGGATCTGATTTTAGGGGTGCTGCTGCTATCGCTGCCATTTGATTTTCTTGGTTGACAAATGCCTTCACACGCGACAAGCAATGGCTGGAAGGACGATCGTGGGTGCCGTCATTGAAGTTCTTTAAGATGGTGGCTTTGTGGCTGTGAACCGCCCTCCGGAAGACCACTGCCTTGTTCGATTTCAAAACTTCACCATTTTTGTTGAGCTTTGTGTTTGTAGCAGCGTTGCTTCCGCCGTCGCACGTTGGTGTTAGGATGAATGGGAGTAGGAATTAGGGTTTGAGCGCCGATAGGTGGTGGCAGCTGTTGATTTGTGTTATTTGTGTATGCTAATTTGTGTAATTTAATGGAACTGCCATAGGCGTGACTTTGGGGATCAAATTTCGAGGCAATTGAGCAGCAGTTGTTTGAATCTGTGCGAGCGGCAGTCGTTTGTGTTTCGTAATCAACTGGGACAGTATAATTTGACTAATTGTGACTGCCAGAGCGGTGGCTGTGGAGACATTTGGAGGTGATGGTGGTGCATGATCCAGTAGTTGACTTGTGACCAATTAGTGAACTGTGACCCTTAAAATTCGAACTGTGACT